AAAATGGACAAATAGCTGAGAAGGAAATCAGAGATACACCACCCTTTACATTAGCCACAAATAACTTGGGTAACACTAACCAAGCAAGTGAAGGAAATATATGACAAGAACTTTAAGTCCGGACCAACATAGTAAACATGGCAATTTTACCAAAAGCAATCTACAGATTCAATGCAATCCCCATCAAAATACCAACACAACTCTGCAAAAACCTGGAAAGAATAATACTCACATTCATATGGAAAAACAAAAAACCCAGAATATGCAAAAGAGTCCTATAGCATGAATCTTAAGTTCTTGTTAATAAAATCTGAGAGAAACAGAAGAAACCACAGCTATCTCTCCTCAGCAGTTCCTCACTGGAAGCTTCTGAGTCCTCATCCAGAATGAAATGAATCTCAGCTGAACTGGGACATTCAGATTCAGGTGAACTGTGTTGCTCTAGTTTGTGGTCCTCAAGCCTTAAAACGCTCAGCTCAGCTCAGCTCAGCTCAGCTCATTTTCTCCATGGAAAATTAGCCGGTGTGGAACCGTGTCCCCCGAGTGAACTGCTAGAGAGGTTAAGGACCAAGGAAGACGACTTAACCTACCAACATCTCCTGCCTGAATCTCCTGAGCCTTCTGCCTCTCACGCACTGTCAGAAGAGGAAATGTCCGATAAGTCCTCCCTGTCCCGAGACCAGAAGCCAGACAGCGAGACTGAGAAGTGCCCAGTGATGGCGAGCTCTTTTTCTCAGGACTGTATGGAACACCTACAGGAAATTCGAACTCGGAGAAAGCGTTTGGAAGAATATATTAAAACGAATGAGAAGCTCCAGAAACAGCAGGAACGGCAGGGGTCTGAGGCTGACCAAGGTTCCATAAATGTTGCTGCTTACGGCTCAGAGCTGCACAGCTCTCTGAAGTCAGAGATGCATTCCCTGAGGAAGCAGAACCAGGCCCTCCGTATGATGATCGACAAATGTATCGTAGATAAACTGAAAGAGAATGAAAAATTACTTAAGTCCCTGTCCAGGAAGGCGGCAAGTCTTGAGCACCTTCGGCTAGAGTACATCAGTGTAAAGGAAGAAAATGAAAGGTTGCAGAGAGACATCAGTGAGAAGGAGAGACAACCAGCAGCTGACCCAGGAGGTCTGCAGCCGCGCCGCCGCCGCCGCCAGGAGCTGAGCAGGGTACAGGAAGAAGTGAAGTTGAAGCAGCAGCTGCTCTCCCAGAATGAAAAGGAGCATAGGAAGCTACAGCGAGAGGCCCAAGGTAAGGCATCTGCAGAAGGCTGGAAGGGGCCTGATTCTTTCAGCAACCTGCATGGCCTCCTGACAGAGATGCACAGCTATTAGGTATTTTTCTAAAGGAGCTAGTAAAGCCAAAAGTGGCACAGCTCCGAACTCTATTTCCTCACTGTTTGTATTAACCAGTGACAAAACCTCAGAAATACTAATCGAGCCACTTTCATTTCGCTTCCTTTATAGGAACATCATGGGAGCTGACTTTTCTTAGTTCCATGCTCCTTACCAGATGCTCCGGTAACCACCGAGCTTCATTCTCCTCTTGTGGAAAAAACACAAACATGTCCTCGACCCCATATTAACACAGGATCGGAACCCTTCCATAATCCCGGGCAGGGATCTTTCCATTTCACTTGAGTTTCAGGATTTAGTATTTTCACTTCATTAGCTTGAACTCCTGATGTTATTAGCAGCAGTGATATTTAGCATTAATTTCTTATAAGGAACTTTCAGGTAAAGCAACTCTTTTGTAAGACAGCTAGATTTTCTGAAGTTTGTTTCCCATCTAGAAAGCAGTCATTTCTTTTTGAATGCCTGTTTCCTTGTCTCCTTATTAGATTTGCAAAGGAATTACTCATGGCAGGCAGTTTGTCCAAAAGGCAAAGAACTTTTTTAATTTCAACATAAGTTTCTTCATATCTAAGACAACGTTCAGTGTATAAACTGCTTTCCCTTGCTTTAAGGATTTTAAGGTGACTTGTTTGCTCTTAAAGGTTGCTTTTTGTCATCCAACTACCATAAAAACTTTTCACAGCTATTAGGGTAAATAAGGCATTTTACCAACCCCCCAAACCGCTAAGCGCCTCCTTTCAATTTTTCATTGGAAATGACACTTAAACTCTTAGATGATTTTCCTCCTTATTCTTTTTAAAGGCTGTATTTTAAGTTTACCATGAACGTATTTTTGAGCTGACAAAAGTGTTTCAGGGCAATGTCGCCATCTTTAGCGGAAAAACTACCTTTCCCAGAATGCA